GAGGGTGGAGATCAATACCCTCTGTGAACTGGGGGGGGGCGTCTGTGAACTGGGCCAGAATGAAGTAGTGGGGGATCACAAATCTTGCTTGCCACAACTCACTCCCCCCCCCCCAGGAGCCTGTAATTAGCTATTACAGTATGGGTAGGTGACCTTCCCATTTGAAGGAACCTCGGAAGGCTCCCATAAAGAGGAACTCCAATTCTCACAGAGCTTCCGATCGCCCTGGAAACGGACACTGGCGTCTGAGGTTTCCATGACAACCCCGCTGGCAGCGACAGTGACCGTGTGGAGCCTGAGTCCCAAGCCGTGTCTGTGACAGCAACAGAAAGGCCACCCAGAGAAAACACCGGAAGCTCAGTTCCCCGTTACGTGATGTCGAGGCAGCCGCCTCCTTCGTGATTCACCCAAGGCTGCCATCTTTATATGAACCCAACATCCATGCTTGATTATGCAGCAGTGGGGGGGGGGGGCATGCTAACATGCTGTGACCCCCACCAACAGCATCCCAACGCTTGCTTTGCTTATCAGTGCAGCCCTGAACCCCCCACACACCCACTCTACCTGAAGTAGTAGAAGTTCATAGTGCACAGCTGTGCTCAGCTCAGAATTATACATTAAGCACGTCTGTCCACCTGCTACTCAAACATTTTTCCAGTTAGGGAGTAACCATGACACCAAAAGGTTACCGTGATAGATTCCCATACAAACCATGGACCCAACAGCACCTGGCAGCAAATGCCTTCGGAATGGGTGTTCAGGCAAGAACCTATTCCAAAAGTCTTGAGGAAAAAGGTACTTAATCTGCAAGCCTTTGTTGCTACGCTAAGTTGTATAATCAACTTAATATAAGTGGCATGATTTTATAAGGGTGGGTCACACAGTTACCTTATGCCCCCGGGATTGGGGGTGTGAATGGCACCTCTGCCATGTGAGTATGCAAATGGAATGTTCTCAGCGTGTCACAGGAGTCTCCTGTGGACAGTCCAAAAAAATACATTTAGGCTAACGGGTATCTTTAACGGTGTGCACTCTGCACTGAACCGGCATCCCATCCAGGGTGTCCGCTGCCTCATGATCCTAAGAGAAGCAGTCAGAAGACAGACGGGGTGATTTTAATAAATTTCCATTTCCTTTCGACCTGAAGTAGTTTGGCGTTTGTAAATATGTGTAGGTGCAGCCAAGAGCTCGGTGTCTTTGAAAGCACGATGTATGTGAGAGAATGCAGGGCTTACTTTCCTAATTATTGAAAAATCTCACAGCCTCACTAAACAGTTAATTAGCCATTAGGCGTATGACATATTTAATTGACTCTCTCCCTTATTACTTACTGGACCTCTGCTGGGTAAATGAGCTGAGCGTGACTGGGATTGTACTGCACCTGAGGGGCTTGACAATGGGAAAAGCACGCAGATGGATGCCTAGGCGAGTAATGAAGACCCGGCCTTGGTGACACGTGGTCCGTAATGCACAAGCAGCTCTGCCTTTTTGTACAGATACCTCCTCTCTGTATTAAAAAATAAAGAAAACCAGCGGGTGAAGAGTTGTTTTAGCAGTTCCGGTTCTAGTTGTGTGCATGAGATGAAGATGTAGGGGCTGTTTATGCTTTCCCAGTTTTTTCCTTTCCTTTAGTATATTATGTAGCTTATTGTGCATGTAAACTGTCTGCGAAGTCTTAAGGCCCAAAGTACACGTGAAAGGAAGTAACTCACCACAGAAACCACTCTTCTCTAATCTGCCTGAAATGCCTTGTTGGAATTCCAGCCCTTACTTCCATGACATGGTGAGATCATCACAATTCACATAACACAATTCTTATTGGCCGCCTACCCGCAAGGATCTATCTGCACACTGAAAGACAGGGGTAGAATGTGTAGGGCAAGCTGACCAATCGGACAAGCTGACCAATCAGAGCACACTGGGCTCATTAAGGGGTGGAGCTTAAAGCTCTAACTGAACATTTCAGGCAGAGTGAATATGTACAGATGTACAATACCAGAAAATTATCTGTTTTTGGGACAATGAAGCATGTACATCTATTCTAGTAGACGACATAAACTAAATTATGAACAGTGAAAATGAGCATAATAGGGCCCCTTTAACTATTATAGACTTTGACTAATAAATTCATTGGCACAGGTTTATTGAGTACATAGTGAGCCAGTAAGGAGGATTTACAACAGTAGGCAGAAAAACCATAAAATTTAACTGTTAATGTTAACAGCACGCTTGACTTACGAAGTCCATTTTGCAGCTGGCGAACTTGTAGGGGATGGCTTCTCCAATGACAGCTAGAGTATGAAATGAATGAGGCTATATTTAGCTTTGCTAATGTGAATGAAAAATGTGGCCAAATGGTAGCTTATGACATGTAGGGGTGCCCAGGCACTTTACGCTGGGTGTAGATTATACAGGGGTCAGGGCAAAACAATGGAAACTGAGAGACAAGCAAGCCCTTACCACACTCGGTCACCTGACTGAAGGTCACATGGCCTCTTTTTCTTCAGTGGAAAATACAGAAAGCTGTGTGCATATCTGCATGGCAGCCTGACATGCACATGGACTGTTTAAGGTCCGGTGTAAATTAACAGCAGGCTTTGAAGTTCAGATCCAGAGCTTTCTGCTGATGGATGGACGACACGGCAAATTTTGTGGAGTGACGTGCAACTCCCAGGCCAGGGACCTTCCGAGCCTTTGCTCTTTCGTCTGCAGCCAAGATCTTCAGGTTCGGCTTTAGACGAGACTGGAGACCTGAGCCATAGCGGAAATCTGGCTGAACATAAACAATGTAATGTGTGAATTACACAGAAAAAAGACATTTGACCGTTTAGTTTCCCAGAAAGCATTTTTGTGCATTTAAAAACAAACAATAAACAGGTATCTTTTTAAAAGTATCTTCTTATATTTCCATCCGCCCATCGAGTACTGGATTGTGGGTGTGTATGATTCTCAGATGCCTGGAAATCTGGCTGTTTGGCTTATCTACATGTAACCTATAATGACAAAGGGCTTGTTGACTGAAAGCTATTAGAGGGAATTAAGCAAGGTGTGTTTGTCTGCCTGTAATCTGATGCTTAATATAATATTTCCAGCCAATTTGCTGCATAACAGTAATCTAGCATTTCAAAGGATACCCTGCATTTAAGCCCCGAGATCAGAAGTGCGACAGCGTTTGCTCCGCTAATCTGTGTTAATTGCCATTTTTAACTCTAGGTTTGTTTTTTGAGAATGTGCTTGATCTCTCCTCCTCCACCTCCTTCTCCTGCTCCTCCTCTTCCTCCTCCCTTTCCCTGGATTTGTTTCCTCCTGCTGTGTTTTGCCTGCTGGCCATGCTGGTCTCTCGGCAGAGAAAAGGTCAGGCGGCCGATGTATGACAGCGCAACACAGATCCCATCCCGTCTGACGTTTTAAAAGGAAGCAAGATCTGAGAAGCGGCTCCGTGGAAATGTCACTCTGTCCTGTCGGGCCTGAGGATTAAGCACCGGCTGCCTGCCTGAACATATCCTAACCCTGGAACCTGAACACAGAGTACTCCACAGCTGCCTTCCTGAACAGTGTATCCCACAGCTGCCTTCCTAATCAAAGTGTACTCCACAGTTGCCTGCCTGAACACAGTGTACCCCACAGCCACCTGCCTGAATGCTGTGTACTTCACAGCTGCCTGCCTGAACACAGTGTATCCTACCACTGCCTGCCTGAACACAGTGCATCCCATCACTGCCTGCCTGAACACAGTGTATCCCATCACTGCCTGCCTGAACACAGTGTATCCCATCACTGCCTGCCTGAACGCTGTGTAACCCCAGAGCCGCTGCCTGCCTGAACACAGTGTACCCCACAGCCGCCTGCCTGAACACAGTGTACCCCACAGCCACCTGCCTGAATGCTGTGTACTTCACAGCTGCCTGCCTGAACACAATGTATCCCACCACTGCCTGCCTGAACACAGTGTACCCCACAGCCGCCTGCCTGAACACAGTGTAACCCCAGAGCCGCTGCCTGCCTGAACACAGTGTATCCCATCACTGCCTGCCTGAACACAGTGTAACCCCAGAGCCGCTGCCTGCCTGAACAGAGTGTCATCCCACAATTAAATGAAACGATTCTTTATTTTGCCATTTGCACAAGAACAAAATCATTAGATTGGAATATTTTAGTGTTGACATATCCCATCTTGCCAAAGCTTGGGGTCTGAGCACAGGATTAGCCGGCAGTGTTTGATCTCAGCCCGAACCCACCCAGCCACAGACTGTCCCCCAATAGCAGAGGGCACAGCTGCCCACTTCAGGTCATAGTAACATATCTCATGGTATTTCTGGCTTGTTACTCACTGGTCATTTTCCTCCAGGACATAGTGTCTCTTTTGGTTACACCAGGGGGCACCACTGAATAGCTCTACGAAATGTGTCCGTCCCTGACTCACTCAGAAGGCAAATGGCCAGAAAACTATGTCATTAATTGATTAAAATGGGTGTGGGGGGGGAGGTGATTATATTTCCATCAGCCCAAGCAGACCAAACGTGGGCACTCAGATGCGAGGGCCGCTCAGTACATCTGCTCACCAGATGGCGGGGCTGATTACCACAATTGTGCCGCGTCGAGGTGCGACTTCTTCCAGAACCTTTCCGGCGCTGCACACTCACGCGCGTGTGCCTGTGTGTGCATGTTTTCCACACCTCTGCGGACGCAGAACAAGATCTTGCTGCAACATGATTATTTTTTTTTTTGGGGGGGGGGGGGGGGTACCGTCATCTGGGACATCGAGCGGTCCCCCTGCACGAGGGCCGCGTGTCATGTGCGGTTTATTTTAGCCCCACGTTTCGATTGGCCGGGGTGATGCTCTGTGCCGACGGGGCGACAAATGTGAGCCAGGGAGGCATCGATGTGGCGGCTCGATAGACGCAGCGTTCTTCCAAATATAGCGCGGCGTCGGGGGACCGCGGGGGCCGCGAGGGGAGCTGGGGGACGGTCACACAGCATCCCGCGTCAGCGGCGGCCTGCTAAGTGTCACTGTCGCTTTGTTATTTTACCGGGAGGACTGGCCATCTCGTTACGTCTGTCGGGCCTGGGGCATGGTCATTATCCGTTAGCCAGAAACAGCCCCCACGCTCCAATAGGCTGCCAGACCAAGCCGACCCCCACCCGCCCCCCAATGTATTTTTTGAGATGTTATGTTTCCTTACACTTTTATAAAAACCTTACTGACACTTTTATTTTCTAGCACTTCGCTGAGCCGTATGAGAGCAAGCCTGCCTGCCCCCCCCCACCCCCACCCCCACCCCCACCACCAGTTAGAAGATGGTCCTACTTAATCTTTCACAGCAGGAAATAAAAGGATTCCGTCACGTAGGGGACGCCCTTCTGCCTCGGAGAGGCGGAGCTTTATGCCCCTGGTTGCCCCGACTGTGCCGTTCTTGGCATCACATAACAAGCCACTCGTCGGTGCTGAAACTGGGTTCCGATCTGCGCCCCCCGGCTTTTTCCGAGCTTCCCCTATCCGATGGCGTCACTAATACCTTGGAGCCTCTATTTTTGCCGCCTCGATCCCATTTCTGTGCTCGGCACCCTGCCTGCTGCTCCCGTTTATTTTTACTTCCCGCTCGGCAGACAGGCAGGGCCGCGACCTCCTCTGCCCGGGTCCATGATCCGGGAGAGCAGCAGCAGCACCTCCTAGGAATGGAGCGGGATTCCCTCAAAGGAACCCCGGGGACAGTGCACCCGTGTGACAGACACATAGAAGCAGTGTCTCCAGGTAGGGGTGTGTAAAGGGGGTGGGGCCACAGGAGCCCCAGCTGAGAGGTGATTGGCTCCCTGAGTGCTCCTCCTCTGTCACTCACTGATTGAAAGCATATCATTAGCTAGTGATATGGTTGGCCCCACTGTATGAATTCTAGCCCCCTACCTTTAAAAATCCTACAATTACCTGTTTCCAGGCAATCCCAATGCTTCCTGTGGCTTCCTGCTAAAAGCTCTCCAAACTCATATTCATGCAGGCCAATCTGTGTCCCTCCAGCTACCTCATTGTTTACATTTTGGCTGGGGGGGGAGGGCGCACACACACACACCACACACAACCTTACTCCCCCAGCAGCGGCGTTTACCACCACTCAAACTGCCCATTTGCATGGGGCCCGCAAGGATTGGACCCCTGTTGGCCACAAACAGTCACTACACTGAGGTGGGGCCCAAACTGACTTTTTGAGTGGGACCTCAGAAGCGACAAACCCAGCCCTGCCTACCTCTGCCACCCCAGAGCACTTCTCAGATCTGTCAGGCATAAAAATGACCTGATCGGGGCAAGGAAAAGACATCCGTAACAGCTCAGATCCCCCAGCGGGGGTGGGGGAGTTGAATATGAACGAGGGCTCTTCATACAGTACATATCTGTACATGCATACACATGCATCAGGCACATTTAGGTTAGATGAGATAAACTTTATTAATCCCAGGGCAAAATTCTGCATAGGGCAGCCAGGTAGGTAAAGTGCAGAAAAATAATGCAAAACAGACAAGGTGCAAAGACAGTACACAGTGCAAACGTGTTCCAAGAAAACATTGTGCAAATAAATGAAAAGGTACACCGTACACAAAGAGAATATCGCGAAAAGCAAATTATCATTAAATATTAAGAAAATAAATGTTTTGTTTTTTTTTAAATCTCAGTGTTGCTAAGCAATCAGTTAATTACTTTCCCCACATGGAGTCCCAATGGATGGGAACACGGCATCCCATCATGTGAGAGTGGAAGCCCTGGACCACAGGGGTGTTCTTGTGTCAAGAAAAACGGTTTTATAATTTTCCGGGGTATTACGCGTCTCTATTCTGTGGCGAGGGACGAAGCTGCG